TTAAATCTCTCATCCATCCCCCTACCATGGGTTCTCTAGGGATGCCTCCCATTGTTGAGGAAATTAGGGCTTTCAACGCAGTGCTCACTATAGCCATTGAGAGGGCGGGCTGCCTGGCACCAGCCCCAATGTTTAGATCCCTGCCTGGCACCAGTGCCAATATTTATATCCCCCACTCCCACCAGGATATGCCCAGGTGCCTCAGCCCACACAGAGCCCCTGTAGCAGGCCAAGGTGGGGCAGGGCTGATCCTTCCTGCTTACGTCTCTCCTAGGGTCTGAGGCAGACAGGAGTTCCACTGGTAGGCTGACTGACTTCATCCTCCAGGTGGGGGAGAGAGAGACTCCAACGCTGCTGACGTTGGCCCCAAATTAATTAGTCGATGATGGGAAATTCAATATAAAAAAACGTTATCCCCGGGCAATATTTGTACACAAAATATGTGAGCAAATTAATATCTATTGAAAAATAATAAATCTTCAATTCTGGAGCCCTATATTTAGAGTGTAAAATATACACTACATTACCAAAGGTATGTGGACAGCATCCCGGAGTCGCCTCTTCACTGTTGACGTTGTCACTGGTGTTTTGCAGGTACTATTTAATGAAGCTGCCAGTTGAGGACCTGTGAGGAGTCTGTTTCTCAAACTAAACACTAATGTATTTGTCCTCTTGCTCAGTTGTGCACCGGGGCCTCCCACTCCTCTTTCTATTCTGGTTAGAGCCAGTTTGCGCTGTACTGTGACGGGAGTAGTACACAGCGTTGTACGAGATCTTCAGTTTCTTGGCAATTTCTCGCATGGAATAGCCTTCATTTCTCAGAACAAGAATAGACTGACGAGTTTCAGAAGAAAGTTATTTGTTTCTGGCCATTTTGATCCTGTAATCGAACCCACAATTGCTGATGCTCCAGATACTCAACTAGTCTCAAGAAGGCCAGTTTTATTGCCTCTTTAAATCAGCACAACAGTTTTCAGTTGTGCTAACATAATTGCAAAAGGGTTTTCTAATGATCAATTAGCCTTTTAAAATGATAAACTTGGATTAGCAAACACAACGTGCCATTGGAACACAGGACTAATGGTTGCTGATAATGGGCCTCTGTACACCTATGTAGATATTCCATTAAAAATCAGCCGTTTCCAGCTACAATAGCCATTTACAACATTAACAATGTCTACACTGTATTTCTGATCAATTTGATGTTATTTTAATGGACCAAAAAAATATTTTTCTTTCAAAAACAATAACATTTCTAAGTGACCCCAAACTTTTGAACGGTAGTGTATACACACACACACACACACATATATATATATATATAGATATTTCAAGTTTAGCCAATTTGGATCTAGGTATAATTTCACAAGCTCTGAATTCAGCTAACAAGGCGAAACAGTTGAATTGTTAAGAACACAACCTTCTGTCGATCTCCAACTGTTTGAACAACATGATACCCTGTCCACTTTGTTCAGATGTTGAAATCAAGTGGCATAACTTATTTCTCAGAATGAGAACGAGTTACCAATTCCTTATAATTGTTTAATGCTTATTGCACATTTATAAAACAGTCATCCAAACAGCTTGTATAACAATCTTTATTTGACTAAAATGCTGCAAGCGATACGTGGTACCGTAATGCGTGTGCGACAAACTGCGCATTCATTTTTCAGAATGAATGTTCAATGGTACATCCGTTTTAGTAGTGTCTGCTCTGCTCGAAATTTGAGGAGTTGAAACAAACAGGGTATGGTTCGAAAGGTTAACTTCTCCTCTATTACAGTAAAAATAATGTCTCAATGTGTTGGAGTCCATATGACAGATTCTGTTGGACCAAACCTCAAATGCAAATAGCGAGTTGAAACCGCTTGTCAGAGAGGAAGATGTGATCTCTCAACTTTGTTGGCGTGAGAGGCAGGGGGAGGGGCTTGGTGTGTGTAAACCATAGAAGAAGCAAGAGGTTTCACTCGCTAAAATCTGTCCAAAATAAGCCCAATGCTTTTCTATGGGCTTAATTTGGACCTAAGCTTGTCGCCTGCCTTCAAGCCTTTGGGACGACTCCCCCCATTGTTAGGGTGGAGACATGCATCTCTTCATTATATACAGATCTCTAGTGTAAATGGGGAGGTGCACACAGCACAGAAGGAGCGAAAGAGACAAGACCAAAAATACAACACGAGAAAAAGCGGACAAAAGCTCAGAAAAACGAAAAATAACAAAACCTTGATTCTTGCGATACAGGCATTTGGAATATCGAGCCAAAACCAATTTTAATTAATCAAATTCATTCGATATATCGTCCAGCCCTACTTTAGCGTTAAGATTTCCCTTCACTGGAACTAAGGGGCCTAGCCCGAACCATGAAAAACAGCCCCAGACCATTATTCCTCCTCCACCAAACTTTACAGTTGGCACTATGCAGTCGGGCAAGTAGCGTTCTCCTGGCATCTACCAAACCCAGATTCGTCCGTCTGACTGCCAGATGGTGAAGCGTGATTCATCACTCCAGAAAATGTGTTTACACTGCTCCAGAGTCCAATGGCGACGAGCTTTACACCACACCAGCTGACGCTTGACATTGCGCATGGTGATCTTAGGTTTGTGTGTGGCTGCTCTGCCATGGAAACCAATTTAATGAAGCTCCCGACGACAGATCTTGTGCTGACGTTGCTTCCAGAGGCAGTTTGGAACTCAGTAGAGTGTTGCAACCGAGGACAGACGATTTTGACACACTACGCGCTTCAGCACTCTGCGGTCCCGTTCTATGTGCTTGTGTGGCCTACCCACTTCGAGACTGAGCCGTTGTTGCTCCTAGATGTTTCCACTTCATAATAACAGCACTTACAGTTGACCGGGGCAGCTCTAGCAGGGCAGAAATTTGATGAACTGACTTGTTGGAAAGGTGGCATTCTATGACGGTGCCACGTTGAAAGTCACTGAGCTTTTCATTAAGGCCATTCTATTACCAATGTTTTCCTATGGAGATTGCATGGCTGTGTGCTCGATTTTATACACCTGTCAGCAACGGGTGTGGCTGAAATAGCCGAATCCACTAATTTGAAGGGGTGTCCACATACTTTTGTATATTTAGCGTAGCAACAGTACAGACTAATGGTACCGTCGAACCTGCCTTTTCTACTTGTAAGATCACGCAATGCAACTTGACTTTGAGCAAATCAGAACCGAGTAGAAAGGAAAAACACCAGCAGCCTTTCTGTTGTAAGGGCCTTGGCTGGCAAATTCTCCCAGTCAAAACTGTTTCCTTCTGATTCCAAACAGGACTGTTAACGCGCCGTCGGCTGTCAGTTTGAGGAAGGGATGTCATCTTTAAGCGGGGATATGAAGCGCGGAGTATGTGTCAACGCTGACATGAGCCCTGCTGCTGTGAAATGCTATTCTATTTCTGGGGCCCAGCCAGTCATACTCCAAATCTTCCTAAACTGATTAAGAGCAGCGAGACATGGGGAGAGAAATAATAAATTGCTCATATTGGGGGCCTGGATCTAATGGAGCATACATGCTGATGGGGGAAATAACAGAATGGCAGACTCAGTATAAAAGTTGTATGTCTCAGCTCTGTGTCAACGGTGGGTGCTTCCAGTCTCAACCAATGAGAAAACCCAACATTATGGATCGAACTGACCGATCTCACTACCGTGACTGTTAAATGTTGACATTCTCTAGAATGTCTCAAGTTAATGTCAGTCATCGATATCATGATAATGATGATGCAGGTAATCAGTCATATAACAACTACATAATCATCTAGATAAAAAGGGATTAAAATTGCTACTCAAGTAAAGAGTTGCATGCATTACAGCACTGTGTCAATGGACAAAAGGCTTACACCTTGGTAAAGGTAACAGCTTGTTATACATTATGAAGTTCTTTATGTACTTGTCTCCTGTCCTGCACAACCTGTTGGCCATCTTTTCTAGTAAGTTCTCATCGGGAGTCCTGTGTAGTGGTGGTCCAGAGATAAAAGGAATAGAATGTGCTTACAGCTGAGTTTTCCTTAAGTGGACTCCTTCTGTTTTGAAGACCATCAGGAAAATGTACCTGGCCGTCCTCACCCACCCAGCACTACTGAACCGCTGCAAATGAAATACTCTCATTTAGAGGAGCAATGTCCACTTTAGCCTGAGCCTGCCGACACAGCAACACAGACGTTATGATCCCATCCATCCCCTGCCACGATTTGCCTACACACACACACGCAGACACATACGGACAAAGACAAGTGCTCACACAAACAGTGAGGCAGAGACACACACAAACATTTTGTAGAATATGTGCTGACATCACAGCACCACATCAACCTGCGAAGAGCACTGGGGGTACTCTGCGTCAAAACCACCGCTGACATCAGCCCTCTTCAAAGACAAGAACTTAATTGGAAACGGCAGCTGCATTATTTCCACTCTAAACTCTCTTCAGCGTGTTTATACTGACACTCAAGTACCTCACTGACCTCCCACTCAAGGCCACCATGACTTAGATGGCCAAAGAGAGATAAATATACCTTTCACCTAGCAGTTTAAATTAGCCTCATTAGAAGAAGTTAATGCCATATGACACTGGATTGCAAATATGCATGAGTAAAAATATTCAATATGTTAGTTTTTAAGCAGTCAAGTGCAACACAAACATGCCGTGTGGAAATAATGTTGGTTATTTTGGATACTTTTATTTGATATGCCCAAAAAAGTAGATGGCTTATCCTAATCGTTTTCTTTCAGTCTTCAGAAAAGTATTACATTTGCTCACTACTTGACTTCTAATTAACCACATTTAAACATGTGGTTAATCCCGATTTCTTTCCAACCCACGAAAAGGTTTACTTCATGCCTTCTATGGTCAAAGTACTGGGTAGCATAGCACCCCCTGGTGGTACATTGATCCCCATATATTTATAATCTTTATTGAATGATGACAATCAAGGTAAACATCATGAAGGTACATGAGCAAGTCTTGCTCTGTGAGTGTGTGAGTGATGACCTGTGACCTTTCTCCATGCTGCTTTGGGCCAGGCTGAGGAGCTGAGGGGAGCGCTCCTCCTGGACCTGCTGGTGTAGGCTCACGTAGCGCAGGGTCCACCAAGGCAGCAGCTACATACACACGGAACATAGAAAACAGAAACAAGTAAGCGAGAGACGAGAATGTGAAATATGTTTTTTGATTGAATACGCCATTTAGCAGAAGCAACTTAGTCATGCATGCATACTTTTTTTTTTGTATGGGTGGTCCCGGGATTCAAACCCACTATCATGGCGTTGCAAGTGCCATGCTCTACCAACTTGGCTACAAAGGACCACACTTGGCTACAGAGGACCACACTGGGCTACAGAGGACCACACTGGGCTACAGAGGACCACACTGGGCTACAGAGGACCACACTGGGCTACAGAGGACCACCATATGAGTTAGTGAGTGTGTGGGGGAGCAGGAAAGTGGAACAACAAACAGGCAAGTGAATATGAGAGAGAGTGTGCTTTTGTACAAACGGCACAATACATAGATGGGGTCACTCAAAGTACAAGTAACTAAATAAATAAACTACTGTACTAGTGCCTGAACCACCTGAAGACATATGACAACCCCCTAAGAACCTACATACTAACACATACAATGGTATAGTTAAGTGCTGATCCAGCCATAAAAATTGCCAACTCTCTCTTTTTCAGCTCTCTGACCAAAACGCAAAGTGGCAGGGAAAATAACAGCTCAAAGCCACGTAAGGGTTTCTCTCTCCTCTCCCTTACCCCCTCCCACACCCATTTGCGTGTCAGGGAGGATATCTCCATTCTCATTTGTGATGCATGAGGCCCGTGTCGCCATATGGTGCGGTGTCTGCTTCCCTGAATCAATATTCCTAGTAAATACATACAGGCAAACACAAACCTCGACCTGGACACATAATTTTTCTATAATGAGTGATGTCTAATATTAAGGAAATCTCAAGGTATTGCTCGACTGACGAAGAGTACCTCATGATAAGCTGTAGACCACACTATCTACCAAGAGAGTTTATATCTATATTTTTAGTAGCCGTCTATTTACCACCACAAACCGACGCTGGCACTAAGACCGCAGTCAACAAGCTGTATAAGGCCATAAGCAAACAAGAAAATGCTCATCCAGAAGCGGCGCTCCTAGTGGCCGGGGACTTTAATGCAGGCAAACTTAAATCCGTTTTACCTCATTTCTGTCACATGTGCAACCAGAGGAAAATAAACTCTAGGCCATCTTTACTCCACACAGACGCACGCATACAAAGCTCTCCCTCGCCCTACATTTGGCAAATCTGACCATAATTATATCCTCCCGATTCCTCCGTACAAGCAAAAACTAAAGCAGGAAGTACCAGTGACTTGGTCAATACGGAAGTGGTCAGATGACACGGATGCTACGCTACAGGACTGTTTTGCTAGCACAGACTGGAATATATATTCAGGGATTCATCCAATGGCATTGAGGAGTATACCACATCAGTCACCGGCTTCATCAATAAGTGCATCGACGATGTTGTCGTCCCCACAGTAACCGTACGTACATATCCCAACCAGAAGCCATGGAATACAGGCAACATCCGCACCGAGCTAAAGGCTAGAGCCGCCACTTTCAAGGAGCGGAACACTAATCCGGACGCTTATAAGAAATCCCGCTACGCCCTCAGATGAACCATAAAAACAGCCAAAGCGTCAATACAGGACTAAGATTGAATCCTACTACACCGGCTCTGACGCTTGTCGGATGTGGCAGGGATCGCAAACTATTACGGACTACAAAGGGAAACCCAGCCATGAGCTGCCTAGTGAAGCGAGCCTACCAGACGGGCTAAATGCCTTTTATGCTCGCTTCGAGGCAAGCAACACTGAAGCATGCATGAGAGCACCAGCTGTTCCGGACGACTGTGTGATCACGCTCTCCGTAGCCGATGTGAGCAAGACCTTTAAACAGGTCAACATTCACAAGGCCGCAGGGCCAGACGGATTACCAGGACGTGTACTCAGAGCATGCGGACCAACTGGCAAGTGTCTTCACTGACATTTTCAACCTCTCCCTGAACGAGTCTAATACCTACATGTTTCAAGTAGACCACCATAGTCCCTGTGCCCAAGAAAGTGAAGGTAACCTGCCTAAATGACCACCGCCCCGTAGCACTCACGTCTTTAGCCATGAAGTGCTTTGAAAGGCTGGTCATGGCTCACATCAACACCATCATCCCGGAAACCCTAGACCCACTCCAATTCGCATACCGCCCCAACAGATCCACAGATTACGCAATCTCAATCGCACTCCACACTGCCCTTTCCCACCTGGACAAAAGGAGCACCTGTGAGAATGCTGTTCATTGACTACAGCTCAGCGTTCAACACCATAGTGCATAGCTCATCACTTAGCTAAGGACCCTGGGTTTAAACACCTCCCTCTGCAACTGGATCCTGGACTTCCTGACGGGCCGCCCCTAGGTGGTAAGGATAGGCAACAACATCAGCCACGCTATCATCAACACGTGGGCCCCTCAGGGGTGCGTGCTTAGTCCCCTCCTGTTCATCCACTACTGCGTGGCCAAGCACGACTCAAACACCATCATTACGTTTCCTGACGACACAATGGTGGTAGGACTGATCACCGACAATGATGAGACAGCCTATAGGGAGGTCAGAGACAAAAACCTCTCCCTCAACCTGAGAAAGACAAAGGAGCTGATCGTGGACTACAGGAAACACGCCCCCATTCACATCGACAGGGCTGTAGTGGAAAGGGTTGAGTGTTAAGTTCCTTAGTGTCCACATCCCCAACAAACTATCATGGTCCGGACAGTCGTGAAGAGGGCACGACAACACCTTTTCCCCTTCAGGAGACTGAAAAGATTTGGCATGGGTCCCCAGATCTTCAAAAAGTTACACAGCTGCACCATCGAGAGCATCCTGACAGGTTGCATCACCGCCCTGGTATGGCAACTGCTCGGCATCCGACCGTAAGGCGCTACAGAGGGTAGTGCGTATGGCCCAGTACATCACTGGGGCCAAGCTTCCTGCCATGCAGGAGCTATATACTAGGTGGTGTCAGAGGAAGGTCCCAAAAATTGTCAAAGACTCCAGTCACCCAAGTCATAAACTGTTCTCTCTGCTACAACACGGCAAGCGGTACCAGAGCGCCAAGTCAAGGTCCAAAAGGCTCTTTAACAGCCATAAGACTGCTGAACAATTAGTCAAATGGCCACCCGGACTATTTGTATTGAACCCCCCCCCCCTTTGTTTTTACACTGCTGCTACTTGCTGTTTATTATCTATGCATAATCACTTTACTCCTACCTACAGGTACAAATTACCTCGACTAACTGGTATGCCCGCACATTGACTCAGTACTGGTACCCCCTGCATATAGCCTAGTTATTTTTATTTTATTGCGTAACTTTTTTTTATTTTTTACTTTAGTTTATTTGGTAAATATTTTCTTAACTCAATTTTTTTTATACTGCATTGTTTTTATTTTTATTTTGTTAATTTTTTTCACATATACACACATACATATCCTTTAAAAAAAAAATATATATATATATATATATATATATATTCCTCTTTATTACTTTCCAACCCCGCCACCCTTTCCCCACTTGGAGTAAACAACAACGCCTAGGCCTCTACTTCCAGCCCATGCCCACTATCTACATTTTATGGACACAGTCAATTTTACAATAATTACATTTTGTTTGTTCTTTCTCCTGAACTTCTTCTACTCTCAACCTCTCCGATCATTTTCATGATGTCCATCCGGTTTGCTTCTATATGCCATATCTTTCTAACTGTGCTCCTTCACAAAAGCTCCCAACCTACAGCCCATACACTTATTATGGACACAGCGTGCCTACATTATTAGTTATCTTGTTATTGTTAGTTGTTATTAGTCCCATCCTTCAATTCCATTCAACAACTCCCATCTATCTTTTAACACCATCTATATAGGATTTCTATTTGCCATATATATTTCAACTGTACTGTGATGTCTTACAAAAGTTCTGAACCTTTCTATTCTCATTGTTTCTACAGATTGTGAATTGAAAATAAACATTTTTGCTAATAGTATTATGTTATTGATCGATTGACTATGACTTTTCAGATCACCCAGTAGTGCTATCTGCAGGGTTAGCTCCAGGTAAATATTGCAATCCTTTAGCCATTCCTGGACCTGTGTCCAAAAACAAGCTACAAATGGACAGTACCAAAACAAATGATCTAATGATTCTGTCTCTTCGCAGCAAAATCTGCAGAGCTGGGAAGATTGTATCCCCCATATAAATAACATTCTATTGGGACGGCTGTCAATCCTTTGATCCTTAAATGAAACTGATATACCTTTTTATTTATCACAGTTTTCCTTAACCAATTATGTTCTTTAATGCAAGGCCGACAGACAAGTTCCTTACTTTCTCCTCCTTCCACTTTCCTCTTCCATTTTTGCGGTAAGGCTGCAATTATTTGGTTGTAATTTTGGGTAGAGCAGACATTTCCATATGTTTTTGTTAGCTGCATGTGCGACATAACTCCACCAGTCCTACCAATTATATCATTTACAAAGATTATACCTTTTTTAAACATTTTGTCAAAAAAGAACGGTTTTTTATCAATTAGTATATTTGAGTTTAACCACAATATTTGTTGCAATATTTGTTCTGTCTTTTCTGGTGGATTAAATTGAAATTGCAACCAACTTTCTATGGCTTGTTTTAGAAATAGTGATATCTGGATTGTTGGTTAAGGGCTTGAAAGTAAGCATTTCACGGTAAGGTCTACACCTGTTGTATTTGGAGCACGTGACAAATAAATGTTATTTGATTTGAGAGGGTGACATGCAGATGAGCAGTGCAGCCCCCTCTCCTCCTCTCTTTATGAATGGGATGGGCGAGGTGGAGAAGCTGGGTGACAATAAGACTAGAGGGATGGAGGTGGCAGCGGACAGTGTGCCCTTGAGTTAAAGTCAGTTAGCTGCTGAACTCCCAGATGTTTGCTGAAAAAGGTGGTTGTAATTAATTCCCTATATCTCATCAGCATTTTAAAAGGCTGAATGGTAGGGGGATGAGGTCCAAAGCTGCATACGACGGTACATGTGCGTGTCAACTGTAATAGTAGGATCACTACAATGGATCTTATCGTTACAATGGAGCTTATCAGCAAACCACACATTGCAGCATGTAGTAATTTGTAAGTATCATTAACACTAAAATAGCCTCCTTTATATCATGATCTTAGGATGTTGTAGTGAACTTCTGAAACTCAAAAGGCAGCTGCCAATATGCAGTTATAGAACTAATATTTTCCTTTATGGCTGTAATATAAAGCTGTGGGAAAAAATTAAGAGACCACTGCAATTCTTAAATCAGCATCTTTACGTGTATGACAGCCATTCCATTCCAGTGTCTGTTGAATTCCAACACAGGCACACCTCATTCTACTGAATTAGGTACTGATTAGGTGATCACATGAACCAAATCTTATTTAACAAGGAAAAAGTATAAAAACCACTGCTGTGGGCATCACTATCCTCTTGCAATAGGACCAGCTGGATGGGAAAAACAGTGCTAATAGTACCTCAAAAGTAATATTAATCAAAAAAATAACCATTGACCATGCCAAGAGTTGAAAAGGAAAGTTTTGAGTGAGGAAAAGAAGGGTTCAATTCTGGCTTTACTGGCAGAGGGATACAGTGAGCGTCAGGTTGCTTCCATCCTTAAAATGTCAAAGACGGCGGTTCATAAGAACAAGGTCAAGCAGCAGACATTGGAGACAACAAAGCTACAGACCGGCAGAGGGTGAAAACGACTCTCTACTGACCGGGATGACCACCAACTCATTCGAATGTCACTCAACAACCGTAGGATGACATCAAGTGACCTACAAAAAGAATGGAAAACGGCAGCTGGGGTGAAGTGCACGGCGAGGACGGTTCGAAACAGGCTCCTAGGGGCAGGGCTGAAGTCGTGCAAAGCTAGAAAAAAGCCCTTCATCAATGAGAAAAAAAGAAGAGCCAGGCTGAGGTTTGCAAAAGACCATAAGGATTGGACCGTAGAGGACTGGAGTAAGGTCATCTTCTCTGATAAGTCCAATTTTCAGCTTTGCCCAACACCTGGTCGTCTAATGGTTAGACGGAGACCTGGAGAGGCCTACAAGCCACAGTGTCGCACACCCACTGTGAAATTTGGTGGAGGATCGGTGATGATCTGGGGGTGCTTCAGCAAGGCTGGAATCGGGCAGATTTGTCTTTGTGAAGGACGCATGAATCAAGCCACCTTCAAGGTTGTCCTGGAAGAAAACTTGCTTCCTTTTGCTCTGATATTGTTCCCCAACTCTGAGGATAGTTTTTTCCAGCAGGACAATGCGCCATGCCACACAGCCAGGTCAACCAAGGTGTGGATGGAGGACCACCAGATCAAGACCCTGTCATGGCCAGCCCAATCTCCAGACCTGAACCCCATTGAACACTTCTGGAATGTGATCAAGAGGAAGATGGATGGTCACAAGCCATCAAACAAAGCCCAGCTGCTTGAATATTTGCGCCAGGAGTGGCATAAAGTCACCCAACATCAATGTGAAAGACTGGTGGAGAGCATGCCAAGACGCATGAAAGCTGTGATTGAAAATCAGGGTTATTCCAACAAATATTGATTTCTGAACTCTTCCTAAGTTAAAACATTACTATTGTGTTGTTTAAAAATGAACATGAACTTATTTTCTTTGCATTAATCGAGGTCTGACAACACTGCATCTTTTTTGTTATTTTGACCAGTTGTCATTTTCTGCAAATAAATGCTCTAAATGACAATATTTTTATTTGGAATTTGGGATAAATGTTGTCAGTAGTTTATAGAATAAAACAAAAATGTTATTTTTACCCAAACACATACCTCTAAATAGTAAAACCAGAGAAACTGATAATTTTGCAGTGGTCTCTTAATATTTTCCGCAGCTGTATATACATACAGTACCAGTCAAAAGTTGACACACCTACTCATTCAAGGGTTTCTTTATTTTCACTATTTTCTACATTGTATAATAATAGTGAAGACATAACTATGAAATAACACTTTTGGTTACTTCATAGTTTTGATGTCAAGAAAAACCCTTGAATGAGTAGGTGTTCCAAAACTTGTGACCGGTAGTGTATATTTGTTCTGCATTTTAGATTAGTAATTTAGCAGACGCTCTTATACAGAGAGACTTACAGGAACAATAAGGGCACGTCGGCAGATGGTCTACCTAGTCGGCTCGGGATTCGAACCAGCAACCTTTTGGTTATTGGCCCAACGCTCTTAACCGCTAAGCTACCTGCCGCTTAACGAAACAAGTAACGATAGGGCCATTTGATTTCCACACTGCAAATCAGGCCGGCAGCCTTCCAAAGTGGATATGGCCGGCTGCTCCAGTCCTCACAGCAGGAGTCATTCAATAGGACTTCTGGAGTACCCAGGCACAGATTGAGGGCAAAGAGGAGCAAGTACAACGCTGCTTCGTATCTCCCTCAGGGCAATTAAAGCCATGCATACATACTGTACATACAGGCTCCTCTGACCACCTAGTTGACTAAAAACGCTGTATGAGAAAAGGAAGAACGATAGAGGATTGAAAGGTTCTGATATAGAGGGTAGCGACGGGTGCTGATATCCCCATGGGAGAGAAGGAGGAGGAGATGTTAAGCTGTCCTTATTAAAAATGTATAATTCATGGCAGCAGGAAGCTCCAGTCAGCAGCGTTCAGCCAGTGGTATCAGCCCATGCCTGGCAATTCCCCTATCCCTTCAATCAATCAAAAAAATTATAACTGTACTGGCACAATGTTCCTGCCCAAGAATGTAACTGTGGTGGGCATCCAATTTGAGGCGTCACCTGGCAGCACAGCTTGGCGTGAACTCGGGTCTAAATCATGGCATGAGGTGTTGTTTTCAAGATTAAGTCATGGATAGTTTTATTAATTCATATCGATGTACACTTAAAAAAGCAATACGTGGGCTTGAGTTGAAAGGATAGTAAATCTTGTTTATAATAAACACTAATGCAGTGGTCACTAACTTTGGTCCTGGGAGCTACAGGGTGTGCAGGCTTTCCCCCCAAACACTAAAACATTTGATTCAATGAATTAAGTAACATTGAATAAGGCATCAGCATGAGATCACAGATGTTGTTTCTTACCTGTCAGCCTTGTCCTTCTCTGTGCTGTCATTGAGGTAGGCCAGGATCCGTCTCTCCAGGTAGGTATCAATGGCCTCTCCATCGCTGCAGTCTCCACCACCCAGCAGGTCCAGAACCTGAGGATTCAGCAGCACCGCCTCAAAGTCCCCATCGAACAGGGACTGCAGCACGGGACCCGCCTCTGGAACAGGAACAAGCAGTGAGACACACAAGAAGCTGACAATGTAACATCTTCAGAGATGTTGTGATGAGGTGGTGATGAAGGAGTCAGGCGCAGGAGGGTAAATCACAGCATAACAGGCTTTAATCCACAAAATACAGGTTTACGCAGAAATGCGTCAAACACACTCCAGGGCACAAAACAGGCGCACTGGAAAATACAAGGCACACGGGAAAAATACTCCCGTCAATACACAACACAACGAGCTCCACCGAGCTACACTAACCTCTACAATAAACAATCACCCACACAGACAAGGAAGCAGAGGGAACACTTATACCATGACTAATGAGGGAATAAGGACCAGGTGTGTGTGATTGAAGACAAGACAAATGGAGTGATGATAAATGGATCGGCAGTGGCTAGTAAGCCGGTGACGCCGAACGCCGAAACCTGCCCGAACAAGGAGGGGAGGCAGCCTCGGCGGAAGTCGTGACAGATGTGTCTTGTGTGTGTGAGTGTGTGTGTACGTGCATCTGTGATAATGGGTGGCTCAATAAATATGATAGACCATGTATAAAAAAAGTCATTAGTTCTTCTGACACCATCACAATTTTGCTATTGTATGTCTATTGTTTTTACTTTGTGTGCCTGGTGTAGACTCATATTTATCTGTGAGTAGAGAGGAAACCCCAACTTAATTAGGTCTATAATCAATAGCCTAACTGTTAAATGTGCCTGGCTTTCTAAATCATCCATATACAGTACCTTCGGAAAGTATTCAGACCCCTTGACTTTTTCCACATTTTGTTACGTTACAGCCTTATTCTAAAATTGATTAAATAAAAATAAAAATCCTCAACAATCTACACACAATACCCCATAATTACAAAGTGAAAAAATATGTATACATTTTTGCAAATGTATTAAAATTTAAAAAACAGAAATACCTTACTTACATAAGTATTCAGACCCTCTGCTATGAGACTCGAAATTGAGCTCAGATGCATCCTGTTTCCATTGATCATCCTTGAGATGTTTCTACAACTTCATTGGAGCCCACCTGTGGTAAATTCAATTGATTGGACATGATTTGGAAAGTCACACACCTGTCTATATAAAAAGGTCCCACAGTTGACAGTGCATGTCAGAGCAAAAACCAAGCCATGAGGTCGAAGGAATTGTCCGCAGAGCTGCAAGATAGGATTGTATCGAGGAAAAGATCTGGGGAAGGGTACCAAAACATTTCTGCAGCATTGAAGGTCCCCAAGAACACAGTGGCCTCCACCATTCTTAAATGGAAGAAGTTTGGAACCACCAAGACTCTTCCTAGAGCTGGCCGCCCGGCCAAACTGAGCAATCGGGGGAGAAGGGCCTTGGTCAGGGAGGTGACTAAGAACCCGATAGTCACTGTGACAGAGCTCTAGAGTTCCTCTGTCGAGATTGGTGAACCTTCCAGAAGGACAACCATCTCTGTAGCACTCCACCAATCAGGCCTTTATGGTAGAATGACCAGACGGAAGCCACTCCTCAGTAAAAGGCACATGACAGCCAGCTTGGGGTTTGCCAAAAGGCACCTAAAGACTAAGACCATGAGAAACAAGATTCTCTTGTCTGATGAAACCAAGATTGAATGCCAAGCATCACATCTGGAGGAAACCTGGCACCATCCCTACGGTGAAGCAATGTTTTTCAGCGCTGGGAGACTAGTCAGGATCGAGGGAAAGATGAACGGAGTAAAGTACAGAGAGCTCCTTGATGAAAACCTGTTCCAGAGCGCTCAGGACCTCAGACTGGGGGAGAAGATTCACCTTCCAACAGGACAACTACCCTACGCACACAGCCAAGACAACGCAGGAGTGGCTTCGGGACAAGTCTCTGAATGTCCTTGAGTGGCCCAGCAAGAGCCCGGACTTGAACCCGATCGAACATCTTTGGAGAGACCTGAACATAGCTGTGCAGCAACGCTCCCCATCCAACCTGACAGAGCTTGAGAGGATCTGCAGAGAAGAACGGGAGAAACTCCCCAAATACAGGTGTGCCAAGCTTGTATCGTCATACCCAAGAACACTCAAGGGGTCAGAATACTTTCCGAAGGCACTGTATAGCTACAGAAATAAGACAGATCCTGCTTCTATTGCCTGTTTGAGTGTTTGTTTAATAGCCAACTGATTCCGGGAGCTCTAAGCCTCACACAACCACGTTAGAAACTATTTCACTAATTCTGCTGTTTTTAATCTTTACTATGCTGTAATAAAAGGCTTTATACTTTTTTTGTTGTTAGACCAGCCTCTCTTGTATTATTTATAATTGATTTAGTGTTGTTAACTTTGTTCAAAATTGTCTGAAATTATATTTATAATAACAACCCTCCTTTTTCCTTGATCTCCTTATTGTTATTACTATTATTATTATGATCATCATTACAATAATAAATTATGCCATTATCATTAGTAGGCTTAGTATAGCAGCCTTGTATAACCACCATCGAGCTGTAGGCCTAAGAGCGCATCCTGTTTAGTCTTAATACCGTAACTTACAAGGGCCTATATTTTAATACTTAAATAGGTTACCGTATCAATCAATCTAATCTAACAGCTCCTGTTTAGCACGCATAATATGCACGCAGCACTTGCTCCTTACCTTATTTTTCTTGAAGTCCAGTATTTTCCACAACTAGTCAAATGTATTCCACACACCTGACTTCACCTTTACCTCCTGAGCAACCAGTAAACATTCCCCGTGTAGAGTATATTTGTCACATTCTCTGCATCCATTTTGCTGTCACATGTTACGGTGTTCAGAGTTTGTTATAATCAATTTATTGATGTGATTATGATATGCTATAGGTCAGGCCCTATTGGTCACGTGCATGAGATGCATACATGTGTCACGTAAAGAGAGCAAGAGTTGAGGGAATAGGGAATGTTTTTCCTAAACAAATAAGGGGTTTCTGTAACATAACTTTTCAGTCACAAATGGCTGTAATTAAATCGCAACTTCAGCAACGCAGACAGCATGATACAAGCTGTTGATTTTTATGTGGTGGTCGCTGCAGCAGGGAGAAGGGGCCTCCTGTAGCTCGGTTAGTAGAGCATGGCGCTTGCAACGCCAGGGTTGTGGGTTCGATTCCCACGGGGGGCCAGTATGAAAAATGTATGCACTCACTAACTGTAAGTCGCTCTGGATAAGCGTGTCTGCTAAATGACTAAAATGTAAATGTGAGAGAGCGACTAAAACACATGGGATGTGTCTATATATGGAAAAATACATTTTAACATTTCAACCAATCAATTGGTCGAAAGAATAGACTAGCATTTATTTTAGTCGTGGACAGCCCTAGCTGAAATGTGTGCCATTGCCCGGTTAAGGGCGGCAGGTAGCTTAGTGGGTAAGAGCGTTGTGCCAGTAACCGAAAGGTCGCTGGTTCTAATCCCCGAGCCAACTAGGTGAAAAATCTGTCGATGTGCCCTTGAGCAAGGCACTTAACCCTAATTGCTCCTGTAAGTCGCTCTGGATAAGAGCGTCTGCTAAATGACTAAAAAAAATAAAATAAAAAAATAAAATAAAAAAATATATATATATATATATATTAAAAAGGGACAGGCGGCTATTTGAGACTCTTCGTTTAATTGTAGGTTTACGGTAATGTAACTCCATATTCTCATTAGGAAGATCAGCATATTAAACAATGCTCTGCAGGAGAGCATTTGGTATGTGTGTGCAGGCTTTTGGCTGTTGGAGGGGCATCGCTGAAGGGGGAGGAAGAGGAGAAAACATTTTTATTTATAAAGATAAGTCTAGCTATGAGGACAAGGCGTGTTGGCCTGGTGTAATTGCATTTAATGCATTGGTTGTGTCGGGCTCATTAGCATTGATTGCATTGTGCTCACCTGATGGGAGTGAGGAAGGGCTGAGAGAGGGAGAGAGAGCAATGGGAAGGAGGAGAGGCTGGGTGTACAGTAGCAGAAGACTGGCAAACCTGAGCAAACTAAAAATGGCCCTGCAAGCTGGTGCGGCAGGTAGCCTAGTGGTTAAGAGCGTTGGGCCAGTAACCGAAAGGTTGCTAGTTTGAATCCCCGAGCTAAATAACTATAATACTAAAATCACACACACAGGATGAGTCCTGAAGTGTGCACTCATGCACTACTCCCCACAAAAATCTAATCCATGAAGGGTAGTGAACAAGTGCACCAGGATTTCAGGAGAAAGGAGAGATTATTGGGACACGCAAATGCTTTCACTGATAAAGCTGCACTGAAATGTTTTCATTACAGAATGTCATCATAGCAGAAACCAAGAAAACCAACCATCCATTCCGAACTGTCTTGTCATTTCAATAATAAATCCACGTGTTTTGAGACTGATATTCAATGACAACCTGACATGCACCAAATGCTATTCTATTTCTATTTCAGATTTGTCAGGGAAAAGAACAGCAATTATGGAAAACAATTGGACCTCAAATAAGACCGTAATTCATAAAAGGTCCTCACATTAAGCAGTAATTAATGTAAGGCAAATCAATATGGGAGAAATATGACTTTCTGAATTGCTCAGGGCCTCAATATTCAAGCAACATTTAATACATTACATTTATGTAGATTTCAGACTAGTCAGTGCAACTGCCTCATATCTCTCCTACAAACGCACACACGGGAACAGGGAGGGAACTAGCTCCATTTGTATGTCATCAGTGTAGACTTGCTGAATTAAAAAAAGTAACTTGCAGTGTAATGAAACAGGGCTAACGCTTCATTCACAATACATCATTTCAATACAGTCTGATGTCAGAAATGGCAGAGAAGTGATGTCTCAAAATCACAGCCTAGTTTGCTTTATCCAAATGTAGACCAAAAGATATGTCATGTCTATTCCAACAACAGACCATAACTAGCCCAGACAACCATTACATAGCTAGTGCTACATCACTTCATTCAACTACTGTGCCATCAGTGACTGGATGATGGGCGAGAATTATATGAAAGGGCTGATTATTGTGCAAAGCAAGTGACCTCGGATTTAACACAGATGAGCATACATACATATCAAGAAAATAACCGAGCATACATACATACATACATGTCAAGAAAATAGCCGTGCATATAGCCGCCGTGCATGGTGATTGTCCAGAGTGACTTACGTTTTCCATCACCGGGGCAGGGATGCTTGCCCCACGTGCGTGACCGCAGCCTCAATGCAGTAAATTGACAAAAGAGTGTTCAGCGAAAGAGCCTGACAGCAATTAAATCACTATTGCTGCCTCTCATATTATTATATAATGTAGCAAGAAAACATTACGGAGCCCAAAGCTACTCGTTAGTTGAACTAGCGAGTTAAACATAATTTTGCTAGACATCTAGCTACTTGTAAATACTGGTGGAAATGTGCAAGTTGCATCCTCACGTGGGGATGCATTACAGGCTGCTCAGCACACGTATGTGGTGTGAACAACATTAGGGTGAGCAAAAAAAGTGGAATTGGCGGGTCACCTTCAAAATAAAAGTCCCCCATTGCAACTTATGCAAACGAATAAAAATAGTGGCATCATGACACAATTGGATCAGATAATGCTAAACAAGGTTGGAATGTTATATGAATAAAACAAAACTACAATTATTTAATTTTACACAAACATGTAAAGAAAATGTTGGAAATAGCACTGTGGATGTATTAAGACTTCAGAATGGACCCAAGATCACGCTCTCCGTAGCCGATGTGAGTAAGACTTTTAAGCAGGTCAACATTCACAAGGCCGCAGGGCCAGACGGATTACCAGGACGTGTACTCCGAGCATGTGCTGACCAACTGGCAAGTGTCTTCACTGACATTTTCAACATTTCCCTGACTGAGTCTGTAATACCAACATGTTTCAAGCAGACCACCATAGTCCCCGTGCCCAAGAACTCTAAGATAACCTGCCTAAATGACTACCGACCCGTAGCACTGACGTCTGTAGCCATGAAGTGCTTTGAAAGACTGGTCATGGCTCACATCAACAGCATAATCCCAGAAACCCTAGACCCACTCCAATTTGCATACCGCCCCAACAGATCCACAGATGATGCAATCTCTATCGCACTCCACACTGCCCTTTCCCACCTGGACAAGAGGAACACCTACGTGAGAATGCTATTCATTGACTACAGCTCAGCATTCAACACCATAGTGCCCTCTAAGCTCATCACTAAGCTAAGGATCCTGGGACTAAACACCTCCCTCTGCAACTGGATCCTGGACTTCCTGACGGGCCGCCCCCAGGTGGTAAGGGTAGGTAACAACACATCTGCCACACTGATCCTCAACACGGGGGCCCCTCAGGGGTGCGTGCTCAGTCCCCTCCTGTACTCTCTGTTCACCCATGACTGCATGGCCAGGCACGACTCCAACACCATCATTAAGTTTGCCGACGACACAACAGTGGTAGGCCTGATCACCGACAACGATGAGACAGCCTATAGGGAGGAGGTCAGAGATCTGGCCGTGTGGTGCCAGGACAACAACCTCTCCCTCAACGTGACCAAGACAAAGGAGATGATTGTGGACTACAGGAAAAAAAAGAGGACTGAGCACGCCCCCATTCTCATCGACGGGGCTGTAGTGGAACAGGTTGAGAGCTTCAAGTTCCTTGGTGTCCACATCACCAACGAACTATCATGGTCCAAACACACCAAGACAGTCGTGAAGAGGGCACGACAAAGCCTATTCCCCCTCAGGAGACTAAAAAGATTTGGCATGGGTCCTCAGATCCTCAAAAAATTCTACAGCTGCACCATCGAGAGCATCCTGACTGGTTGCATCACCGCCTGGTATGGCAACTGCTTGGCCTCTGACCGCAAGGCACTACAGAGGGTAGTGCGTACGGCCCAGTACATCACTGGGGCAAAGCTCCCTGCCATTCAGGACCTCTATACCAGGCGGTGTCAGAGGAAGGCCCTCAAAATTGTCAAAGACTCCAGCCACCCTAGTCATAGACTGTTCTCTCTGCTACCGCACGGCAAGCGGTACCGAGTGCCAAGTCTAGGTCCAAAAGACTTCTCAACAGCTTCTACCCCCAAGCCATAAGACTCCTGAACAGCTAATCATGGCTACCCGGACTATTTGCACTGCCCCCCCACCCCATCCTTTTTACGCTGCTGCTACTCTGTTAAGTATTTATGCATAGTCACTTTAACTCTACCCACATGTACATATTACCTCAACTACCTCAACTAGCCGGTGCCCCCGCACATTGACTATGCAACGGTACCCCCCTGTATATATAGCCTCCCTACTGTCCCTTTATTTTACTGTATATATAGCCTCCCTACTGTCACTTTATTTTACTTCTGCTCTTTTTTTCTCAACACTTTTTTGTTGTTGTTTTATTCTTACTTTTTTGTTTAAAATAAATGCACTGTTGGTTAAGGGCTGTAAGTAAGCATTTCACTGTAATGTCTGCACCTGTTGTATTCGGCGCATGTGACCAATAAAATTTGATTTGATTTGATTTGATTTGAAGATCCATAGCATAGTACATTGCAATATGAATGTCCAATACACACAATAGGCCGAATAGTGAGGTTAATTCCCACTGTTAAAGTCGCGCAAATAAAAGCTACAATGCTAATATTTGTGAAAACTCTTCAGTTGTGTTCTGTGAGTGCCACTGAGTAGGCTGATAACCCCATTTCATGGTCCCAAGATCCATAGGTAAGCTGTACATAAGCTGTACATTGCAATATGAATGTCCAATGCACACAATAGGCCGAATAGTGAGGGGATTTCCCACAGTTAACGTCCCGCAGTAAACGCTGCAACGCTAATTTTTGTGTAAACTCTTTAGAATTGTAATCTGTGGGAGTCACTGAGTAAGCTAATTCTGAAGTCTAATACATGCGATTTCAAAAATGTTTAGCTGTTTTTTTTGTCCAATTAACTAATTGTCTTTTGTGGAATTTATGTAACATTCCACCTTGTTTAGCATTATCTAGTCCAATTGTGGCATGATTTCACATTTTTTACCCTTTGCACGTTTCAATGGTTAACTTTTATTTTGAAGGCTAACCACCGATTCCACTATTGCTGCTAATGTAGTTCTCTGCACAGTCACACTGGTGGCTCGCGCGAAGGCAGAGCGAGGGCTGGTGCGATGTGGCACAGCATCAGGCAAGCTCGCTACCGGTATAATAATATTGTGACAATGAGGTAGCTAGCTGTAGCTGGGTTTAAAAGTTACAGTATGAGTCTATGAGATGAATATTCAGTCAATTGCATGTGCCAAAAATGACTAGTGTGCGGTCTAGCCTTTGAAGTGCGCCACTACTCCGTTCTCCGCTACAGTGTTAACGTTAGATTCTAAACTGTCAAATTGACAGATAGTTTGCTAGCCAACAAGGTAGCATTCAACCCTGTATTATTATGAAGTAGCTAACTAGTTAGCTTCAATTAATGAAATCACATAGCCCAAATATTTTACATTGAAGTCAAATGACATGTAATCAAACCATTGACAAACCGACTGACAGTGGTTAACTGCGAGCCATGCATTTCTTCGTCTCCACATTAACAACTTTAGCTAGCTAACTACTCGTTAGCTGAACGTATTAACCACCAGCAAGCTATAGTTAACTATCGTTTGCTTGTAGCTACAATACTCACAAAACACACCCAACTAGGTAAAACTACACCAAAATCTATGTAAAATTTGATAAAACTGCTTGTCGAATAAATGATTAATAATCTCTCACCTGCAGAGCTGAAAACATTCTGCTTCCATTCAGTTGCCTCGCTTGGTGTCAGAAAACCTCTGAGCACAGGAATCTCAGCGTCCCGCACCATCCCAAATTGTTATTTGCAGCAGTCTTACAATGAAGTCAATACTGTTTCCAACCGGGATCTGTGTAATTGTAAATTGACAAAAAAATATATATATATATATATATATTTTTTTTTTACTGCTGTAATGTAGGCTATTTCAACTCAGTGGTATACATTTGTGTATTTCAACCCATGTGCTGTGAGTGACGTAAGTGTGCATCCATGACAGATACGCATTGCATCATGGGAAACCTAATAAGTAGGGTGCTGGCATTGATACTTTCCTAATATCTCTGGTGCTGGTCGCTCAAGTGACTTTGGTGCCTGTGAAGAACCGCTGCCTCACAGGCTGATGTTTGCGCCACTGCTGCATCACAGGCTGATGTTCAAGCAACTCCGCCCATTATTTTCCAGCCAATCAAATTAATGCAGCCTCACAGGCTGATGAGAGAGCTGTAAGGAGGAGGAGTCTACCATGTCCAGAAGGGACTTCAACATTCATTTTCTGTATTCAGGGTTCACTCAAACATCGTTTTAAGATTTGTTTTACTATTGACAGTTACTGCTGATTTCAGGATTGTATATCGATATGCTCTCCTTAAATATAAGTTAATTGATTTATTTGTTTCAGTCTCTGAATTGTTTAATCAAACTTTTCAGCGACAGCTCCTGTTTTCAGGGCATAAAAACTACAATCTGTTTCCTGATTTATGTGGGCACACATTCGCACTAGGCCCAAGCTCGTTTTCCCTGGTTTTCCCTGGCTAAACTAGCTGGCTAGCTGAACTATGCTAGTTTCCTCATTTCCAAACTTCATACATACAGTGCCTTGCAGAAGTATTCATCCCCCTTGGTGTTTCCTATTCCTATTTTGTTGCATTACAACCTGTAATTTAAATGGATTTTTATTTGGATTTCATGTAATGGACATACACAAAATAGTCCAAATTGGTGAAGTGAAATGAAAAAATATATATATATACAAAATAAATAACGGAAAAGTGGTGCGTGCATATGTATTCACCCCCTTTGCTATGAAGCCCTTAAATAAGATCTGGTGCAACCAATTACCTTCAGAAGTCACATAATTAGTTAAATAAAGTCCACCTGTGTGCAATCTAAGTGTCACATGATCTGTCACATGATCTCAGTAAAAATACACCTGTTCTGAAAGGCCCCAGAGTCTGCAACATCACTAAGCAAGGGGCACCACCAAGCAAGCAGCACCATTAAGACCAAGGAGCTCTCCAAACAGGTCAAGGACAAAGTTGTGGAGAAGTACAGATCAGGGTTGGGTTATAAAAAAATATCAGAAACTTTGAATATCCCACGGAGCACCATTAAATCCATTATTAAAAAATTAAAAGATTATGGCACCACAACAAACCTGCCAAGACAGGGCCGCCCACCAAAACTCATGGACCAGGCTAGGAGGGAATTAATCAGAGGCAACAAAGAGACCAAAGATAACCCAGAAGGAGCTGCAAAGCTCCACAGCGAAGATTGGAGTATCTGTCCATAGGACCACTTTAAGCCATACACTCCACAGAACTGGGCTTTACGGAAGAGTGGCCAGAAAAAAAGCCATTGCTTAAATAAACAAATAAGCAAACATGTTTGGTGTTTGCCAAAAGGCATGTGGGGAGACTCCCCAAACATTTTACTCTGGTCAGATGAGACTAAAATTGAGCTTTTTGGCAATCAAGGAAAACGCTATGTCTGGTGCAAACCCAACACCTCTCATCACCCCGAGAACACCATCCCCACAGTGAAGCATGGTGGTGGCAGCATTATGTTGTGAGAATGTTTTTCCATCGGCAGGGACTAGGAAAACTGGTCAGAATTGAAGGAATGATGGATGGAGCTAAATACAGGGATATTCTTGAGGGAAACTGTTTCAGTCTTCCAGAGATTTGAGACTGGGACGGATGTTCACCTTCCAGCAGGACATTGACCCTAAGCATACTGCTAAAGCAACACTTGAGTGGTTTAAGGGGAAACATTGAAATGTCTTGGAATGGCCTACTCAAAGCCCAGACCTCAATCCAATTGAGAATCTGTGGTATGACTTAAAGATTGCTGTACACCAAGGGAACCCATCCAACTTCAAGGAGCTGGAGCAGTTTTGCCTTGATGAATGGGCAAAAAACCACAGTGGCTAGATGTGCCAAGCTTTTAGAGACATACCCCAAGAGACTTGCAGCTGTAATTGCTGCAAAGGTGGCTCTACAAAGTATTGACTTTGGGGGAGGGGGTGAATAGTTATGCACGCTCAAGTTTTCATTATTTTTTTGTCTATTTCTTGTTTTTTTCACAATAAAAAAATATTTTGCATCTTCAAAGTGGTAGGCATGTTGTGTAAATCAAATGATACAAACCCCCCAAAATCCATTTTAATTCTAGGTTGTAAGGCAACAAAATAGGAAAAATGCCAAGGGGGATGAATACTTTCTCTCTCCTCTGCTCTTGTCCTTCTAGACCTGTCTGCTCCCTTTGATACTGTGAACCATCAGATCCTCCTCTCCACCCTCTCCGAGTTGGGCATCTCCGGCGCGGCTCACTCTTGGATTGCGTCCTACCTGACAGGTCGCTCCTACCATGTGGCGTGGCGAGAATCTGTCTCTGCACCACGTGCTCTCACCACTGGTGTCCCCCAGGGCTCAGTTCTAGGCCCTCTCCTATTCTCGCTATACACCAAGTCACTTTGCTCTGTCATATCCTCACATGGCCTCTCCTATCATTGCTACGCAGACGACACACCAACTAATCTTCTCCTTTCCCCCTTCTGATAACCAGGTGACGAATCGCATCTCTGCATGTCTGGCAGACACATCAGTGTGGATGATGGATCACCACCTCAAGCTGAACCTCGGCAAGACGGAGCTGCTCTTCCTCCCGGGGAAGGACTGCCCGTTCCATGATCTCGCCATCACGGTTGACAACTCCGTTGTGTCCTCCTCCCAGAGTGCAAAGTGCCTTGGCGTGACCCTGGACAACACCCTGTCGTTCTCCGCTAACATCAAGGCGGTGACCCGATCCTGTAGGTTCATTGCTCTACAACATTCGGAAGAGTACGACCCTTGCCTTACACAGGAAGCGGCACAGGTCCTAATCCAGGCAATTGTCATCTCCCATCTGGATTACTGTAACCGCTGTTGGCTGGGCTCCCTGCCTGTGCCATTAAAACCCTACAACTCATCCAGAATGCCGCATCCCATCTGGTGTTCAACGCTCCCAAGTTCTCTCACGTCACCCCGCTCCTCCGCACACTCCACTGGCTTCCAGTTTAAGCTTGCATCTGCTACAAGACCATGGTGCTTGCCTACGGAGCTGTGAGGGGAACGGCACCTCCGTACATTCAGGCTCTGATCAGTCCCTACACCCAAACGAGGGCATTGCGTTCATCCACCTCTGGCCTGCTGGCCCCCCCTACCTCTGCGGAAGCACAGTTCCCGCTCAGCCCAGTCAAAACTGTTCGCTGCTCTGGGCACCCCCAATGGTGGAACAAGCTCCCTCACAAACGCCAGGACAGCGGAGTCACTCACCACCTTCCGGAGACACTTGAAACCCCACCTCTTTAAGGAATACCTGGGATAGGATTAAAGTAATCCTTCTACCCTCCCTTACCCCCACCCCCGCCCAAAAAAAACAAAAACATATTGTAAAGTGGTTATCCCACTGGCTATAAGGTGAATGCACCAATTTGTAAGTCGCTTGGATAAGAGCGTCTGCTAAATGATGTCAATCAATCAATCATTTTATTTTATATAGCCCTTCTTACATCAGCTAATATCTCGAAGTGCTGTACAGAAAACCCAGCCTAAAACCCCAAACAGCTAGTAATGCAGGTGTAGAAGCACGGTGGCTAGGAAAAAACTCCCTAGAAAGGTGAAAACCTAGGAAGAAACCTAGAGAGGAACCAGGCTATGAGGGGTGGCCAGTCCTCTGCACCTGGCTGTGCCGGGTGGAGATTATAACAGAACCATGCCCAAGATGTTCAAAAATGTTCATAAGTGACAAGCATGGTCAAATAATAATCAGGAATAAATCTCAGTTGGCTTTTCATAGCCGATCATTAAGAGTTGAAAACAGCAGGTCTGGGACAGGTAGGGGTTCCATAACCGCAGGCAGAACAGTTGAAACTGGAAATAGCAGCAAGGCCAGGCGGACTGGGGACAGCAAGGAGTCACCACGGCCGGTAGTCCCGACGTATGGTCCTAGGGCTCAGGTCTCTCCAGTTGGCTTTTCATAGCCGATCATTAGAGTTGAAAACAGCAGGTCTGGGACAGGTAGGGGTTTTCGTAGCCGCAGGCAGAACAGTTGAACACTGGAATAGCAGCAAGGCCAGGCGGACTGGGGACAGCAAGGTGTCATCATGCCCGGTAGTCCTGACGTATGGTTCCTAGGGCTCAGGTTCTCAGAGAGAAAGATGAGAACGAGAGAATTAGAGAGAGCATACTTAAATTCACACAGGACACTGGATAAGACAGGAGAAGTACTCCAGGTATAACCCAACTAACCCCCAGCCCCCCGACACATAAACTACTGCAGCATAAATATGGAGGCTGAGACAGGAGCGGTCCGGAGACACTGTGGCCCCATCCGAAGAAACCCCCGGACAGGGCCCAAACAGGAAGGATATAAACCCACCCACTCCGCCAAAGCACAGCCCCCGCACCACTAGAGGGATATCCCCAACCACCAACTTACAATCCTGAGACAAGGCCGAGTATAGCCCACAGAGGTCTCCACCACAGCACAAACCAAGGGGGGGGCGCCCCAACCCAGACAGGAAGATCACGTCAGTAACTCAACCCACTCAAGTGACGCACCCCTCCCAGGGACGGCATGAAAGAGCACCAGCAAGCCAGTGACTCAGCCCCTGCAACAGGGTTAGAGGCAGAGAACCCCAGTGGAGAGGGGAAACCGGCCTGGCAGAGACAGCAAGGGCTGTTCGTTGCTTCCAGCCTTTCCGTTCACCTTCACACTCCTGGGCCAGACCACACTCAATCATATGACCC